ATCAAATCCGTTAGCTATTTTCATTTTGTTCTGATATCATATGAAGTGCCTCTTAATAATCATTTCATCTGAATTTGGAAATTAGCTAAAGTATGTTTGGATTCAGTGAATAAAAGACGATAAATTTGCGTGTAACTTGGATATGAAAAAGTAAGAATAGTAAATTAGACAAGAAAGAAAGAAATCGGTATTGAAATGGTAAAGAAAGTAATCGTATAAACTGTATCCGCATATGCAGATCTAGGTTAATCTAGAGTATCTCACAGGCATTTATCATAGTTCTCCACTGTCCTCAAATAAACCATACTTCATTTGAACACGTCAAGGAATTTTATTACGATATAGTTTATCAAATAATAATATTTAATAATCATTACAAGAACCAAAGTATGTACATGATGATTTTCGAAGGAACTGCTATATGTTGTTTCAAAACATAAATGTCATAATTGGCTAGTCATGTTCGTCATTACAGAGAAAATCTATAAACATAGTGGCTAATATTCATATGTTCAATTGGTTTATTCATTTCTTTTTCTTACTCATGATAATAAACAATTGCATGTTAATTTCCACTTTAACCAATAGCTGATCATCTTTTACTGTAAGTTTACTGTAGTTTAAATACTACTTTCAACATTTAATCTCCACCCATATATAATCAAATACAGTCAATCTATTTAATTTGATTTGATTCATTTACGAGTTAATTTAAAATAAACAAACCTATAAACAGCAATAAATGTATTTAACTCTGTACATTAACGATAGTAATACCATTAAATTATTTTAATTACATAATTCCTATCAGTAAGTTGTTTTTTTATTCATCAAAATCAATTTTTCATGAAGGTATGTAGTAGATATATTGAATTAATTTTTCTTTACTGTTTATTAATTTATGTTTAAATTGTTAGTTAGATTTCTAACTTTAACTTACATTCGATTCCCAAATGCTCTGGCATGGCCGAGAGTGAAAAGAGTTAGCTCTTCCTCTCGAAATGTTCTCACATGGCCACATGCATACAACCACTGCCAGGGAAGTCTTACTCACTGCATTCTCGTGGCGAGGGTGTTGTTTACAAAATTGAGAGGATGAAAAGAGAATGTCCGGCGCCTTAACCGGGTTGGTGTACACGGAAAGTTCACCTAGTGGGGTTGGAAAGCTCTGATTACAAACCGATGATGCACATGGGCTCCAGGATCCTGAGAGTCTGCATATCCTGAAGTTGTCCCATTGTTTTGTGGATTAGACACCCAGGCAGTATCCCAGCCCTCACATTAATCGAATGATTTATGTGGCGTATATCAATTTGATGCCTCCTTGTACAATTGTTTATGTGTCTAAATAAATAAATAACTTACCTTCGAATAAGTAAATTGTGTTTGAAAAAAATAATGCATATTCTTAACCGGTATTTTTAAAATTGACACTGGTCATTTATTATTCTATGGTATCTTGCATGTTTACTCAGGAATATCTAACTTCGGTAACAAAAAATGGATGTTTTATTTTTACCTGGAATTCTTTAAATGATCACTGTTTCAATTTCTTTGTGATTTGAACTTAGTAGGCTTATGATTAGAAGTGATTATCCGATCACCGAAATTCAGCATTTTAAACATTTATTCATTCTTGATAATAACATAGTTCTTCCAAGATGCTTTCAAATTATTCTCATCTTTAATCTTGAAAAAAATCCAAATACTGACTCTTAAAGGTCATCATTAAAAAAAACAACTAAAAACGGCTCAAATAATATTTATTTCATTATCAAGGTATTATTAGTGTGACTTTTCTGGAAATAATTTACACTTTGGTTAGCAGTAAAATTTACGAAGAGCATTTTAGCCAAGAATATCAAAAGAGTGATAGTTTAAACCCTCATTAATGATGATATAAATATTATACCTGAGGTCCAAGCGAGTGGTTAACTGTACTCAGTAGCTCATTGGATAATGCGTTAGCTGTTTAATGACATAGTTACTGGGTTTGAGATGTTTAGTCGACAATTCCCAAATATGATGAAAGTCGAGTTCATGATTCTATTGCAAGACACAGTTTTGTATTGCCTGTATTATTCATATCATTGCTATTCATACGACACCTGGTAGCTTACTCTTACCGTTGTTGTTTATTAGTTGTTTGGTCTAAATTTTCGATTAACAAATTACTGTGACTAGTCTGATGCTCTGATGAGAACGATATTGTTAGCCTAAACAACTTTTTCTCATAAATGATATGTGAAATTTGCATAAATGTTTTGCACTTTATCAGTGAAGTTATGTAACTCATCTATCAAGTAAAGTTACACATACTGTAATTTAAGCAACGTTGTTTATTAATGAAAAACTGAGATAAATCTACAATTCAAAAATAAAACTAGATCGAGTAGAAATTTAAGCCTACTACTTAGTGATTTACATATATGTGCTTAACTATCAAGTAAATGCTCCCAACCTTAAAGAACTGTACGTTACTAGTAAGAATCCCTGAGATTACTTTTGAAAATTTTCTAAAAATTTTACAAATTTCGATAATGCAATGAGAAGACGTAGTTTATCAGAATCATGTGATATATTTGCGCAATACATTTCGAACAATCTGATCACACATATATTTGTTAAGAACATTTATAAATGAAAATTAAAAGGTCAACTAGACAGGTTAAGGGTAAGTCATAACGAAGGAAAAATATTAAAGTACACAAAAAGCAATTGTGGTTACAACTCTGGATAATAAATAGTATTACCAGGGTAGGTTAAGTGTAAGGACAAATTGTTTTTGAACACATAAAGGGGGTTTCAATTTCAGTATAGCATAGGCTTCAATAAACCTTAGTATACGTCCTTGAAGACTTTTGTACAACACAACAAATGCTGATTTGATATCAACCTTATGACCCGTCTCAATCAAATGTTTCGCAATGGATGATGATGTCTGTCTATCCTGTGATCTTATTTCACCACTGGAATTCATCTGATTCTGCAACCATTTTGGTATATGTTCACCCACCCTTAATTGCAGATCACGATTGCTCCTCCCTATGTACGTGTTTCCATACATACATGTAGATTGATAGACACAATGGGATGTGACACAATCGCTTTCGTGCTGTTTGGGCTTTTGGTGAAACATAGACCTTGTCTTTTCGATAATGACAAGTTGGGCTGCATAAAATGTCCGGTTGATAGCTAATTTAAGTATCCGTTTCAACATGAGACTATTTGTGTCGCCTCTGAATGGTAACGTAATATAAACTCGCTTTCTGGGTGCCAGAAGCGTCATAGGTCTATTCGTATTGCAAACCCCTCCAGCGGTTTATGAACTTCAAAGAATAACCATTATTGATTAACGCATCAGTCAAGAGCTTCATCTCTACTCAATAGTATCACTAGTACAAATAGGATTGATTCTATTGAATAAGCTCTTTATTAAACCGTGTTTGTAATGAATAGGGCAGTGAATATGAAAATTAGGATATTGTCCTGTTCATGTTGGTTTTCTATATATAGCACGTTTGATGGAACCATCATCTCTCCTAGTAATCAGGATGTCAAGAAAAGGAAGTTGGTTGTTCTTCTCTTCTTCACATGTAAAAGAAATGTGCTTTTGACTACTATTGAATTCTTCTAACAAGCGGTTTATGTCTTCACTTTTATCCCCTATGATTATTATGTCATCTACATATAGTTTATACAGACACATCTTTCGAATTGAGTCTTCAACTAACCTGTCTAGTTGACCTTTTAATTTCCATATATAAATGTTCTTAACAAGTATATGTGTGATCAGATTGTTCGAAATGTATTGCGCAAATATATCACATGATTCTGATAAACTACGTCTTCTCATTGCATTATCGGAATTTATCAAAGGGACTGATTGTTTTAAATTTTACAAATGCTGAAACTATTTCGACTAGTCAGTAGTACTTGTAACCTTTCATAACGAATCTGGAAAGAGACTAGTTTTGTTTTCCTTATTATCATTCGATAGATATTGAACTTATTGCTCGTTTTCGCATCATTTTAAGAGGCTTTCAGAAACACAAGGTCGTCCATATTCTAATTAATACCTCTTGTGCTTTGTAACTAACTTAGTCTTAGAAATAAAGTGTCTTTCCACATTTTCCGCTTTATATTATCTGTCTGGGCTTTAAGAATAATATACCTGTAGCTGTTAGGATGTGACTAATAAATACGTACCTAGTATTTGGGGCGTTAAATGTGAGTTTTCATATAATCTTTCTTCTATCATATTATTAATGATCCATTTCAGTTTCACAAAATTGTTTATGACGTCTCAAAAATAAAGTTCATTTTATTTCCGACACTATTTCTGTCTGTGAAAAGTGCTTACAATGGTAAACCAAAAAGCTTAGTAATTTAATTGTTGAATTCATGACTAGACCACCATGAACAACCTAGAAACCTAGATGGCCGTTTCATCCTAGTATGGGACTTCTCATCAGTGAGCATCCACGATCTCGCCCAGAAAGATTCGGATCCAGGATCTACCGGTCTTGACCGTGAACACTTAATCTCTAGACCGCTGAGCCGGCGTCCAACAGCGTTAATGTCTAACTTTAACCAATCCACGAAATCGCGCCACCGTCTTTCACTGTCATCGGTGAGTTAATATCTCACAACATACTCGGTTGAACTCCATAGGTCACGGTTTTTCACTAGAACTCCAGGAAATACCTCTTGGTGGAAGTAACTGATAAGGAGTCCCATAATGGGACGAAACAGCAGTCCAGTTCTTTCAGCTTTTTCATGGTGGTCTAACTTCAATCTACTCATGAATTCAACAATTAAATTACTTTAATATCCTCAAAACTCCTCTCTGATTGTAAAGTTTGGTGATCAAAATTTTCATAAATCAAACTATTTGATCCGAGTTTATGAAAATTCGTACATTCATAATAATTTCTAGTACAAAGTCGAAATTTCTATATATATATATATATTTCTAATTTTTATATTTTAGAGAACATTTCATCAACATATACTTTGTAATTGTCATATTGAAAGATACGGAATGACAAATGATAATAATCCTTCAAATTGTGTAAACAATTCACCAATATCTATTAAACCATCAATGGATAGATTGCCAAAATGTTCTATAACAGATTTTTATTACTTGTTGCGTTTATTTATATCTGAATTAATTGGTACTGGGACATTATGTTTTGTTGCTGTATTATATAGTTTTCCACCAACTACCAATCCAGTATCTGATTGTATTATTGTATTTTTTACATTTTCTTGGATTGTATGGATATTTGGACCGATAAGTGGAGCACAAATTAATCCAATAGTAACTATTGCATTCTTTATTACAAGAAAAATAACAATAATACATACTATCCTATTTATAATATCACAATTAGTTGGTGCAATTTTAGGCGCATTTATAGCTAGAAGTTTATTGCCTAATGATTTATCACAATTAAATAAAATTGGTTTAGTTATGAAAAATCCATTAATATCACAAGGTAACGCTGTTGGATTTGAACTTTTTGGTGGATTTGCAATTGTATTAGCTATTCTAGCTACAACTGATGAATTTCGTCCAAATATATGGACAGCTGGATTATTTACTAGTTTACCATTTCAAATGGGAGTTGTTCATGCCTTATTAGTTGGAATATTAGTAAGCTATTTAATAATTTATATTATTTATAAATTGTTGACGATAATTGTATTCAAATGTAGCCTGTCATACTAATAGTATTTTGAAATCATATCATTTAAATATTGTTTTCACATGAAAATAAAAAACAGTCTAGCAAACAGGTAAGTTTGTATGCTTATAAAACTAGATGTCATCTTGTAGAGTAAAAGTGGCATGTTTCCTGATAATCTTCGTCTTCTTATTACATTATCGAAATTGACATGTATTACTTCATGTGTACAAACCACAAATTAACCGAATCGGAACAGAATCGTCTACAGAAAATTGTTATTACTGAACAGCAACCAATTATACTGTTACCTACTTACTTATTTATGCCTGTTACCCCCAATGGAGCATAGGTCATCGACCAGCATTCTCCAAACCAATTGTCCTGGGCCTCCATTTCTAGTCCTATCCAATTATTGTTCATTCTTCTCATGTCTGTCTCTGTTTCTCAGAGCAATTTGTTCTTTGTTCTTCTTCTTCTCTTATGGCCTTGAGGGTTACAAGTGAGGGCTTGCACTGTGACATAGTTGGGTGATTTCTTCAATGGGTGTCCTATCCACTTCCAGCTCTTCTTTCTTATTTCTTCCCCCGCTGGAATCTGGTTTGTTCTCTCCCATAGTAGGTTGTTGCTTATCTTGTTTGGCCAACGGATCCGAAGTATTTTACGTAGACAACTGTTAATAAACACCTGTATCTCCTGGATGATGGTTTTCGTAGTTTTCCAATTTTCTGCCCCATACAGTAGAACTATCTTGATATTTGTATTGAAAATTTTATTGTGCAGACCTCATAACTACTCATCAGTAATATAATCTACACATTAATGTTCAAATCTTCAAATAAATGTATATACGATTGTATAGCTTTAGTAACTGACATCTTCGATATGAAATTTATCTTCGCTGGAATGTCTTCATTCTTTTTAAATGTAACTACTCGATCATCAAACTTACATGAATTGTATGTTAGTAAAAGAAAGTCACTTTTAATTAAAAGTGTCGGTCAGTTGATTGAAATCTAATTATTATATATCATAACTACTTAAAATATGATACTTTTAAAGTACTTATAGTTGTCATTTGCATTTTCAACGTCCAAGTAGTATCTGTAATCTATTGAGCCATTATATTTTTGTGACGATTTATGAAATATATGAATCTTACCCACGTAATATAACATTACGGTGTTGATACGTTATTTCATTGGAACCCTGAACTTGACATAAAATTGAATGTAATTTTAACTGATAAGAGACCTTTAAAGACAAATGTCTATTACTCTACACTGTTAGTACATAAGACCTATGTGATAGTTATTACAACATACAATATTAAGTTTATAGTTGAAAGACTACTCGGTTTTGACGAATAATTATGTGAAAAACTAGTTCTGGAAATAATAATAATAAACATTAAAAGTCGCTTACTACTGACTAAATTTGAGAGGCAGTCTCCCGAGTTCGAGTGAGAAGGTGTGACCAGTCAAGTTTATTAATGTCTCATGTGAGAGAAATGTCATTTGTGATAATGGATAAAAGTCATATAACATTGTGATTTCACATAATCTAGGTATTAAAACCAATGGAAGTCAACTTTAAGGTTGAGGGCTCATCACAAGGAATAAAGCTTTTGGGTTATGTCCTTGTTGTGGTCACAGATGCATATTACTAAAAAGTCCCATATTAGGACGCAAAATCTGTTCAGTGCCTCTAGCTTTTCAAAAGTTGTGTAAACAAAGTCAGCCAGTGGCGCGAAACTTCAAATTCATTTAATTTGTGATATCACTTGATTTATCCTTCCAGTTTTAATTGTGTTTTCAATAATTTTTCATCGTGAAAATTCCTTTCGTATCATATGAAGCCTTAAAAAATTTATTCTATTCATTGACAAACAAATCAAAGCTTAAAAATGCGAACCTAATAAAGAGCCTTCAACTATTCTGTTATTATCATACTGAAAAATCAAGTCGTGTTTGTTAACTTTACTTCTGTGTTTAGATTTAGGTTTGTAAAGTTCAATTGATCATTGCAAAATTGATTACTACCCAATATGTAAACACAAAAAGTAAATAGACATGGGTTTGTTGAAAAGAGAACCCTTTATTGAATCCCAGTATGTCAAAATTCATATCAAAATTAACAAACTCATATCTAGAGTTAACACTAGGCAGTACAATAATTAAAAAGATGTCTTATTAGAAAGCATTAAAAGAAAGTTGTTCTCAGTTAGCTCATCGTTAAAACAATATTGTTAATAGTGATTATTGCATTGGTACGCATTGGTCTTACCAATAAGTTATGCATGTCAGTAATTTGATTAAGAATAAGTTAAAAAAAATTTCTGTCAGCTGTGTGGTATAGTATCTGTTTTCATGTGTTTTGGGACTAAAACTTTTATCGTTCCTTATCAATGATATGAAAGTTAAGGAAGTATACACTTAGTATCGCACTCTGAAGTCGATCTTTTAAATTCTAAAATTCTATCAGATTTTTACCAGATTTTCATAAGTTTTTTAGATAGTTTCCAGACTGCGTTGTTTTAACTTAAATATATACCAACAAGCCGTAACAAAGTCCATTAGTGATAACACATCATAACTGGTATGAATATCAAACTATATAACTTGTCATCAGTAGATTTCACGATCATTAAACTGAAAGTCATCACATTGAACTTTCTACTTCAGGAAAGAGATTTTTCCAAGTTTATATTTGTCAAGTCAGTGACAAGGATCGATAAAACTCATTAACAGACATATTCTTACTGACTTACGAACAACTTGATATTTATTATAATTCTAACAAACAGTATACTTTATATATTAAAAGTGATGGAAACCGTTAATTGGTTGTAATATTTGCCTGACTCTGATTCAAGTAGATTGTCATTATAAATCATTTGTTCTTCATCAATTTAGTGACAGTTAATTATTTTTGTTTAGGCTAGATATTCTGGAGCTGGTTTAAATCCTGCACGGTGTTTGGGTACAGCTGTCGTTGCAAACGACTTCACTGACTTGTGGGTAAGATGTTAAGATTTTTTGCGCCTTTACAATAAAAACATATAATACATCATAGAAACTTATGGTTTTTAAATATTTATATCTACGTGATGTAACAAATATAAATTTGTACATTTAACTTTACATTATAAATATGAACAATATATGATTTGTGGTAGGATTATTTTATACATTTATGTGAAATGTATCGAATGTTTCGTTTAGTGATTACTAACCTATAACGTCATTGATGGAAATGTATATCGCTAAGTAACATAAGTTGATTAATGTGTAAGTTAACCAATAAGCTAAATATAAGTAATATAGATGAAGTGGGATAATTATTACGTAATAATGAAATCTGAAAATTCATGATTATTTATTATAGAGAAGTAAAAGTAATGATCGCTAAAGAAATTAGATTATGAAAAATCATATATTTACTGAAATATGATTTTAGTTGATAGAGTAGCTACGTTTAATAAGAAAAGGGTACTAATTAACTGTGAATTAAATGTATATGTTATCCCTGAACTTACCAAGAAGGGTTAACTGATTCATACAAATGACCATTGTGATTAAGGGGTCTTTTCACATGAATGGAGGCTACGGTTATGATATGTAGATTTAAGAGAGAGTTTTTACTCACGATGAATTATAATAAAATGAACACTAGGACATTTATTAATTTCACTTCATTTTCTTCTTTATATATCATTGTGAAATAGGTATATCTTGTTGGTCCATTATGTGGTTCCTTAATTGCTGTCATTCTTTATGAAGTAGTCTTGTCACACGGTGTTTCTTTACATCGACTAAAAGCTTGGTTGACCAATCCAAATTTCGACCGCAATGTGGATTATAGTTCTAGAAATGAAGTATTTAGTGTAAGTTCAATAAAAATCAAATTTAAAATATTCTTTTTCAAGACTCGAAATATTCATTTTGTTTAGAATTGTTGATCACATTTTCCCGTAATTTGTGTATTCTATTAAGTTTGGTCAGCGATTAATCAATATATTAGTAACTCTGTACAAAACACGATGTCCTAAATGTCACTGTCACGCCTATTTAAAAAGTTAATGTCAAAATACGGCCTATGTCCCTTCTGACAATCAGTGAAACATTTAATATAGGTGCATGGAATGTCCAAGCAAATGTGAGGGATTTGAAGGGACAGTCAAATACCTGTGGAAATGAGCAGATACAACTAGGCGGATCTCAGAATAAGTGAAACTCATTAAACACAAGCTGGACAGAAAAGATTAGATCCGTGAAAGATGTTGTTATACTATGGTCATGAAGAAGAAAATACTTTGCATACACAAGGATTTGAATTGTTGTCCAGTTGAGCATGAAGGTTACTTATAAGATGTGAACCAAATAGACCCGGAATCATCAAGGCATCCTTCGGAGCAAAGAAGGAGGGAAAAGCAATGAATATTGTCCAGTGTTATGCACCCAACAATGATGGAAATAAAAATGATAAAGATCAGCTTTGCATGAGGCTGCAACCGGTCATAGAGAAGTGTCTAGGAAAGGACCTAACCATCCTGATGGAGACCTAAACGACAAAGTCAGAATAGACAACACTGGGTATGAAGATATCATGGAATGACATGAAGTGACTGGAAGAAAGGGACGAGAACGGTGATAGATTTGCAACTCTATATGACCTCAACATAATGGTTATAGGTGGAAAAATGTTCCTTCACAAACGCACGCACAAAGCTATATAGGTCTCACCGGATTATAATACAGAAAGTCAGTTAGTTTATATTTGCATTGCTAAAAGAATCAGAAGATCAATGAAGGAAGTGGGAATCAAGAGAGAAGATGACAGAACTTCAAACCACCATCATCTGTTGGTTTCCAAGTTAAAACTGAAACTAAAGAAGCATTGGAAAAATGAACAAACAGGATTACAAATGTTTGACACAGACTTATTTCAAGATACTAACAAACTCAACCAATTGAAGATAGCTCTCAACAACAGGTTCCAAGCCTTGAAAGATCTACTCAAGAAGATGAAAATACGTTGGGGAACAACTGGAAAGGAGACAAAGAAGAACTAACTTCCACGTACTGGGAGGAACTGGACCGCGAGAAGCATCATCATAAGGAATGTATCTCCATTGAAACCCTGGACAAGATTCAAGAAACGAATTCATTCACGAACTACACTGCAAATTCGTGCATGGAGGACGGCTGAACGATGCATTCTAGGTTAGAATCGGTGTCAGACAAGACTGCTTACTCTCCCACTTTCTCTTGCTTCTGGTGGTTGATTGGATTATGGAGACCTTCACATCTCAGGCAAAGCACGAAATACAACGAACAGCTTTCATGAAGCTAGATGACTTCACAGTATCCTAGCTTTTCCATCCCATTAATTACGCTAGTCACTCCTCGTGAAGAGGCACATCAGTAAATACAGGTAAAAACAGGCGGTGAAACCTTTCCAATCGTGACCCTCAATATACACTAGAGAAAAGCAAAACCCTCAAGCAGAACACTGAGAACACCAAGCCAGTTGCACTTTGTGGAGAAAGTCTGGAAGAGGTGGACAGTTTCACGTATCTCAATAGCATTATCGATGAATAAGAAGGATACGATGCAGACATAAGGCAAGGATTGGCAAAGTAAGGCCAGCATTCCTGCAGCTGTAGGACATATGGAACTCAAAACAGCTGTCAATAAACGCCAGACAGAATATTCAACACGAATGTCAAGACAGTCATACTGTACGGAGCTGAAACGTGGAGAACTACCACAACCATCAAAAAGGTACAAGTATTTATAAACAATTATCTATGCAACATAATCGATGTCCGTTGACCAGACAACATCAGCAATAACCTACTGTGGGAGAGAAGAATCCAACTTCCAGCTTAAGAGGAAATTAGGAATAATGCTGGAGGTGGGTAGAACGTACGCCGTGGAAATCATCATGCTGCATCACGACACAATCCCTAACTTGTGATCTTGAACAGAAAGAAGAACGCGGAAGATAAAAGAACATAGCGAGTAGAGAATCGGAAGCCGAGATGAGAAGAATGAATGGCAATTGGAAACAGTCAGTCAGTCACCTATAACATAGGACGAGGCACATATATACATCAATCCAAGTTGCCACACCTCATTAGCACAACAACATGAACACCAAATTCATAGAAGTAGTTAATTCAATGGTAGTAATATATTAAGTAAAGATTGTGTATAAAGATATAGTACAGGAAGAAAGAACTAGTTCGTAGAAATAAGAGTATGAAGCAATTTTAATCTCACGGTTTAAGGGAAGACAAAGAGTGTATACACCTGCGTCATTGTGACTGATTCTGGTTCATGTCGTTCAGAGTCACTTACCACTGCTAACGAAAGCCGCGCGCACCCCGACCAAATAGTCTGCATCTACCAACATGATTCAGATCAGAAGTTAGTGACTTCAAGCACTGATGCTACGTTTTGGTTTGGCCGACCCTAACTTTCCTCCAACTGTCTTCAACACTAATCAGAATTGTGAGTCTTGGTAATCGGTGTTCAGGCATACGTAACACGTGGCCCAACCATCTCACTCTATGTAGATTTACAAGCTCATCAACTGATTTAGCATTTATCCGTGATACCATGCGTCTAACTTCATCATTACTAACCCGGTGATTTCAGCAGATGCGAGCAATATTTCTAAGACACATAAGATCGAACACTAGAAACTTACTAGTATCTTTTATTCTTAATAATCACGTTTCGAATCCGTAACGTGGAACAGAACAAGTGCCTCATAGTGTACTCGTCCATTAATTAATGGACGGATATCTCGCCTTCGCCATAGGTGACGTAAGTTGGCAAGAGCCAAGCGAGCTTTCTGAATCCGTCCAACGACCTCGTCATACACCAACTGATCAGGACTGATCAGACTTCCACAATAGGTGAAGTTGTCGACGAGTTCGACTACTTCACTCCCTATCCTTAGTTCAGGTGTTGACGCACGCCAGTCCTGAAGCAACAACTTTCATGTAGAGGAGGAATAGTAATTTCAGTGGTTAAGATCATGAGTCAGTTGAAACCATCTGATATTAGTCAACAGATGCTCACTAGTGACTGACTTCAAGAGTATATCCTAGAGTTCTAGTGAGAAGTAGTGACCAGTGAAGTTCAACCAGGTCTGTTGTGAGATAGTAACTCACTGAAGACAATGGTGGATGTGTCGCTCAATTTCGTGGGTTAGTTGAAGTTAGAAATAAACACCGTACGATGCCGGTTTAGTGTCTAATGGTTAAGTGCTCGCGCGCGAAGCCAGTACCTCCTGGGTTTGAATCTCGCAGGGGGCGAGGTCGTGGATGCGCACTGCTGAGGAGTTCCACAGTAGGACGAAACTTCCGTCCAGTGCTTCCAGGTTTTTCATGGTGGCTTAGTTTCAGCTGACTCATGATCTTAACCATTGAAAAATTTTACAGTCAATAATGATAATTGTACAAATTATGAGAATTAATTTTAAAAAATGTAAATAACGGCGAAAAATAATTATAAGATAAGTCTATTTCAGCTATTTCCACAATGTGAACTATTAAAATTTCAAGTTGTCAAGTTATTTTCTCCCCCCGGATAGAGATTCAGTTACTTTGAGTATCTAATTTGATCAATAAAAACTAATCTTTATGGCCTTCAAGATGACTTTCTGTAAATTATACATGATGTTACAAAAGATGTATAGTCTAATTATTAGTAGATGTCCATCCCAAAAAACTTTAGTCGCTGAATCTAAAAATTCATTTGAATTCAAGGATACTCAATGCTTGTTTTCCCCTGTTGAAGGCACCTCACAAGTGAGCAGCCTTAATCTATCAAATGGTCAAACCTAAAATAAGAAAATTATGTAGAATAAAAGATAAAGATGTACCGACTGTCTTTTTTGAAGTATGGTTAACTCATCCTACTACTTAGATCACTTTTAAGGTTACTAACTATTTATAGTCAGCTGTCATATCCATAAATGTATTTTGCATTTTTTTAATAATAATAACTGAAGTATCACTGTTTATTATGTCGACAGTAAATTTCTGATATGGTAAAGGTAATTTTAAAAATGAACTTTTAATTGCTTTTTTAGGATTAAGAAAGAATGTAAAATCATATTGTCCACTGATCAACCAAAAAGATATTTGTACATAATAATCGAAACGATTGTCATGTAAACACTCACAAACTAAACAAAGTAGTTATATTTTACCTTTACCGTTGTCACACATGCACAGATATTAGTTGGTTTCAAATAAAAGAGATAAATAAACGAAAATACTGTCATTTTTCATTCATTTTGTTGATAAATACTCCATCGCATTTTATTTGCATTCAGTGTTTGTTAAGTCGGTTTGTCAAGTGATAACGTATTGTTGGTTTCATTGAAGAAAGTAGGTTTACGACATAAGTTACAGAATCGTTAACTGGTGACGGAAATAACGAGACCACGGTCCTGGTCTACATTTGAGTATTTACAGATGACAAATCCTTTATTTCTCTGATTGCTAAGGCGTATAACTTTAAAATTCTCCTTAATTTAGTAAGACTCCAGTGACTATTTACTTGCTTCCAAATACTATTGGTTATTACGTTGGAATTATTAATTTTAACAATTACGTATCACGTTAAATTATTATGTATAAAGCCTTGATGTAGACCCTATCTGTAGCAGGGTACTTTACGGGTTATCTGCCAAAGGTTTTAGCAGCGTAAATATATGATGCAGAAAAGTCGTATTGGCCTATATAAACTCCTTATAATGCCAACGTGAATATGTACATGATATTCATACTAGTCACTGTCAAATATTCACTTTTAAACCTAGGTATGTGCGTATATATCTGTTTGTCTATAATCTAATTAACCACCTGTATGCTTGCCTTTGTTTAATGTGTTTTTTTATGCGAAAGATAGCTAACACTTGACTTATTAGATAACACTGCCTTTGTCTACTAATTTTTATTGTCTGACTGATTGAACATGAATGTCCAAAGTAAAATTCTCCCAACAAAGTTCATATCTCGCTTTTCTTAACACTGTTACACAATAGGGTTAGACTAAGTATGATGTGTGAAATGAAACTGAGAATTATATTTCATGGTTCACTCATCATCTTCGTCATTATTGGAGTCAACTGGAGCAATTTAGTAGCAAATCTAGTAGATTGATCAGAATGAAAGTAGAACCGAGTCATTATACATTCATTTATAGAACTCATCTAAAAACGTGTGAAAGAAAGCAACAATATATTGTAAATATAACAAAAACACGTTATTAATGGACGAAAAGGCGTCAGTAAGAACTTCGAGAACATACTAGGTATAAGTTCGGCCAAAATGTAGTGCTGTGTCATAATTAAAACCCATTTGAAGATTCGTTGATGTGAGCCAATGACTTTATAGATGGTGTAACTGTTATCACAGGAGATTATCTTGCCTGTTTGACTTTCTTCTGGAATCCCCGGTTACTTAAGTTGAAACCTGAGTATTACCTTTCTTTTCCAGCGTTCAATAAGATCATGATATCTAGCATTTTCTAGTATTTTTCCGTTCACTTAGTGGGCTAATATTGCATACAAGAGTGTGATTTTCACTCGAAATTTCACTTCATTTATCTAAAGCTATCCACATGTGTTTTCTGTGATCATAACACTACATCACAATTTGTCAGATAAAAGAACAAATAAAATAAAAGTTGGTGTTCGAAATGGAACCCTAAACAAATGTTATGCTCTGATATAAAATATTCCATTAAATGACTGGAAAATTGGTAGATTCTTCTCAGATATTAAACACTGAGAGGCGAATGCAGTGCAAGTTCACCGACAATTCCTATTTTGAATTCATTAGAAAAGTGGTACTTGTTTAACTGTAATGCTCGCATGCAATTATTATTAATTTGCAGATTTTCGAGGCACTTAGTTCAAATTACAAAATACTGCACCCGTAGTCGATTCCATTATATATATACATCCTACTTAACGTATACTCTGTCAACTTGACGCATTTAAAAAAGCAACGTTGTAGGACCTTTTCTAGGAGATTCGCATGATTGTTCGCAATACAATTACTGAGGTCGTAGATGATAAAGTACAAAGGAAAGTCATAAAATGCCTGGACATGTTGTAATGGCTTATTTATTGACTAGGCTAAAAAAACTGCCTGTAGATGTGTTACAAAACCCTATATAGATTAAGCAGAACAAGTCGATGAAAGGAATGGAGAAGCTTTGTCCAGCTGCTGAAATGTGTTGGTTGCGCTGGTAACACGAGTACTAACTGAGGAGAATGGGTCATTGTAGTAGGTGGTGGTATTGGAAGTGAATGCTACCGAGACCTGTTTGAATAGGTCGTTCTCCCTAGGAGTTTTATATGCCAATGCTCGTAGTCTAGAAAATAAATCCAATGAACTAGGAGTATTAGTAACCAAATTAAGGCTACTCATTGTAGCTGTGACGAAAACTCGGTTAACCCGTGATCTCGACATTACACCAGAATTATCCGGATATCACTACCTAAGAAGTGATGGACATCGATACAGGAAAGGTGGTGGTGTCCTCTTATACATGGCCAATAATATAAACATCCGCTCCTCTACTTTCGAATCTCGTGATAGTGAAATTTGTGAATTCATTAGCTATGAGCTGGCTATCGGATGTTGTACATTTATACTCGGTGTCATCTCAAAACAGTACAGATCCATTTATTGTAAGACTAGCAATTTTAAAGCATCAGTAAGTAAGACTAGATAGTCGTATGAAAAACAATGGACTAACGATTGAAAAAATAGTCCAAAACGGTTATTCTCGTATATAAAAAAGAGAACTCAGAGAAGTATTGGAATTGCATCACTTTTGGTACAAGAAAATCCATTAATATCGGCAAGAGATAATGCCAAGAAAGCTGAAGCATTATCGGAATATTTCAGTAAAACTTTTTCTATTAGCAATGAGCAACGATCAGCGAATGACTGCTAATAGGGAAGCTTGTTGATGGATCTTGTATTTATTGATAAAGGTACTGTCTTCAGAGTACTTCAACATCTTAAACCTGATACGTCCTATGGTCTTAAATATATTCATCCTAGGATTATGAAAGCCATGTTTGATGTAATTGCCGAACCTATAGCCGTACAGCTTGATAGGTTTCTGCAGGAGTTCAGACTGCCGACAGACTTGAAAGACGCGACAATAACCAGTGCAACTGTAAAACTGTTGAAAACGATTGTTTGGATGGCTGTTATAGTCTATATGGAAGGGCATAATCTTTTATGCAGGGAAAAACATGGTTTTCGGAAAGGCCTATCAAGTTTGACAAATCTTCTCATTGCAGGAGAAGATTGGGCTGCGGCAAAAGACCGAAACATTCCTGTAAATGTAAAGTATAGCTTTTAATAATGTCTCTCATTCTGGTCTTATATTAAAACTGCAATGTTTTGGAATCTATAACACGGCCACAGACTGGATAAATGCCTTTCTACATGACAGGAGACAGAGGGTAAGGGTGAATGGAGCTCTTCGCCGATGACATAGAGATTTGTAGACCCATACACACTATGTCAGATAGAACAGTATTACAGGATGATCTCAACACACTGGGGGTATGGATGGACGGATGGTCACCAGAAGTAAATCTTAATAACAGTGTGGTGATGCAATTAAATAACTATGATGATTCATATCACTACGCAATATGTGGATTCGTGTTACTCAATGTAAGAAATTACAGAGATTTAGGAGTCATAATAAACAGTGATCTTAAAACCACCAGTAACTCTAAAGCTGCTTCTACAAAAGGCTGTAGGGTATTATGGTCTATTCATAGGTCTTTTCAGTATTTGGATGAATAAATGCTTAGATTATTATCCCCAACTTTCGTGAGACCGCATCTAGAGCAAGACGTTCAAGCAGGAAGTCCTCGTCTCAAGTATGGGGCGGATGTGTTGGAACGAGTCCAACGACGAGGGACGAAAATGCTAGAGTGTCTATCTAGCCTATCTTATGAGGACAGAGTGAGACACCTCAACTTACTTCTTTTATCTTACCGTAGAATGCGGGGTGATCTAATGTTGGCTTACCGTATGCTGAACGATGACCTTGGTATCGAACTATCTTATCTTTTCCTTCTGTCTAGGACTGATTATTCAGGCAATTATACAACCGGGTAACTCAACCATATGTATCCTGAACAGTCCCAAAGAAGAAGAAGCACGGCCGTCCCTGGATAGGCAGCGATATTTAACGTTTACTTAGACAAAAGAAGAAATATTGGAACGCTGCCGTCAGCCTTGGCACAGTGAGTACTATGGAACGCTATAGGATGGTAGGAAATAAGTGAATAATTAAGCTTCGAGAAGCTCAAAGAAAATTTAAAATGAATTTGGCACAATCTACAATCAAGCTGCCTAAGAGACTATTCTCGTATAGAAATTACAGAACAAAGATACACCACTGGATTATTATTATTATTATTCACAAACATCTTATGGGTACATAAGTGTTGTGAAGAAACCATTTCGGGTCTCTTCAAAAAATGCGATAATACACAATTTTCAATAATGTTAGCATTATACTTGCCATAATTAAAAAAAATTAAGAGTAATAATAGTAGAATATTAATAATAATAAATCGGATCTGTGTAATTGAGAAGAATATTAAATTGAGTTTAAAGAAGGAAATGGAGAAAATAAAGGAATAAAAATAAAGGAGACGTGAAATATGCAAACAGTTTAATTGGCGTGTTTATGAACATAAAACATGAACAAACGACTATGTATATATCGTCAAATTAGTAACAAAAAACAATTAAGAAAAAATAACTTGTTATCGCAGTAAGATATGACGCTAGAATAAATGTTTGTGCAGTTATAGTTTGGAATGATGCTATGAAAGTCTCAATTAAGTGAAAATGATAACGAAATATCAATATGTATGAGTCATATATGCATAGTGAATATAAAATGGGTCTGAGAAGTTAATTTAAGTGTAACACAAGTTATTGTCTTAATTACAAACTTCGTAATCTTAAGAATATTCATTTAGAGGGAAAGAAGAGAGAAAAGAAGAGAACACCCAGTGAAAAGTTTCATCCATGATAAGAATAATAATTTTATAGTGAATATCAACCTCAGAAGGAAACCAGCAGTTGAAAAAATAAAATAAAAAATCATTTAAAGCACTCAGATGAATACATCAAGATTTATGTAATAGTATACAGAGTGAAACCGGATATTAGTATAAATATTTGTGCAATAATAATTAAGAATGATGCTTTGAAAGTCAAAATTGATTTCAAAAGACAATCTGGAGTTAAATATGTTTAGAAGGATAAGAAGAGATAAAAAGAATATCTAATGCGTCGGGGAACTAATAATGATATTAATAACGGTAATAAAGATAAACACGAACATAAGCAGACTTCATATATTAAGATAAATAGAAATAAAATAAAATAGACGTGAGAAGATTTAAAGGTTTTATTTTGCTTTTCAGGCAATTAAATGGATGACGGACCTTGTTTGAATAAATCATTATTGAATACATTGATATTCAATAGGTGACATAATCCACTTTCGGAAAGTAAATCATCAAGGAGACTTCTGAACCGGGTTGTAGTTTCACTGCAACGGAGGTTCACTGGCAGTCTGTTCCCAACCTAGCTGAGGAGGAGAGTGGATCTGAAATGATAGACGAAGATCAAGAAAAAGCAGAGGCTGTGGCTAACAATATTGGGGCAGTTTTCGCTCAGGAACCTCTTCTAGACAAAGAAACAGATCCAAATACGGAGTCAACAAAGCACCTGCTCATCGTGAACTTTGGTAAAGACGATGTACTTATAGCTCTTAGCGCCTTAGACATGGAAAAGTCAATAGGACCAGATGAACTACACCACCAAGTCCTGAAACAAATTGCACAGTATATTGCGGCCCCATTAACTGCAGTATTTAATATGTCATTTCACAAAGGTGTGTTACTTATGGACTGGAAGGACGCAATCCTCACTCCCATACATAAAAAAGGACCAAGACAACTTTCATCAATTTACAGACCTGTAAGCCTCGTCAGTGTTGGAAAGAATAGTCAAACAGACCACAATGACACTTGTGGAAACCAACAACCTGTTAATCAGCAAACAACACAGTTTCAGAAAGGGATTGTTATGTACAGCAGATCTCCTTATAGCAAAAGAATATTGGATAAAGACGCTAGACAACGGAAACTCAGTGGATGTTGTCTACATAGACTTCAGTAAAGCGTTTGACAGGATGCCAACAAATAGACTGTTATGAAGTTAGAAAATCTCGGTATTGCCGGACCTCCCTTAAAATGGCTTAAGGATTTCCTAATAGGTCGTAGACAGTAAGTAAGCATAAATTCCAAGTGCCCCATCTGGAGACCAGTACTTAGTGGAGTACCTCAAGGTTCTGTCTTAGGTCTTTTACTTTTTATACGGTATGTAAATGACCTCACAAGTATAGTACAGTCTCAAATTTTATTATACGCTGACGATGTAAAGATCTGGCGAGTAATAACTGGAAACACAGACGCATGTGCTCTTCAGGCAGACTTAAATAATATGAATAACGGGTCTAAATAGCGACTGATGCCTGTAAACGCGGCAAAGTGTGTGTACATTCACTTTGGGGATACAATGGTAGATAGGTATAGCATAGGGGAAGTGCCAGTACCCGTGGTCCGGTCTAGTATGGATCTAGGTGTGATAGTGAGTAATGATCTTAAGACGACGACCCATTGCAGGAAGGTCGCAGCTAAAGGGTTTAGAACCCTATGGACTTTAGAATGGACATCCACTAAGTTAGTGAGAACTAAGCTCGAGAACATCTCAGAGGACTTAGCAGGCCAGTAGAAAAGCCAAGAACGAACAAAATACCCGTAGCATACAAGCTTTTATACCGAGTTACTAATACTTGGAACCTGTCACCTGAAGTAGTGGTATCCGTATATTCAATCGACTCTTTCAAGAGAAGGCTGGACAATCACGGAAGCATACTAGAAAAGGAATAACAAAGGCCGTAGCCTTTCTGTCCATACAACACACATCTGAAATCTTCCGTTGATATATACAAAACGAGATTGGACCTCCACAGTTCCACAAGCTTCAGGGACTAATATAGGTCGATAGACTTTCTATCATTATTACTGCAGACTGAAGGCATTATTGCAATTTGAAACTATGAGCGTGATTTCGGTTACTTGCGTTACCAGCGATACTGTTTTGTGATGTAGGATGGCTTACCTAGAATATCTCCTCTCATACATATAGCTTAGGATTACACATGCATATTACCAACCATGTATATATGCATCTATTCTGTACACACTTAATTTCTATTTAGCTCTTGCTTAAAATCACTTCTCGTTCCCTAATATTTCCCCAAACTTTGGCGAAAACCCCAAAAAGTCTTCAGTAATAAGGATAGTAGGTTGATGAACCTGTGTTAATCCTGACACATTGCTTTCCAGTGAAGGTCCAGCTTTTCCTTGAAAGTATTCACTGATGGGGCTGATACCACTTGTTCGGGTAAGGCGTTCCAATGATTGACTACTCGATGAGAAAAACGGGATCCCACTTTAAGTTTATTAGATCGTGGTTTATGAACCTTCTTGCTATGACCTCGGAGATTATTAGTGCTGGAGGGAGCAAAAAGATAAGACATATTAACACCCAAATCATAATTAAAGATACGAAATGCCAGTATAAGGTCACCTCGTGTCCTACGATACGACAAGGGGAAAAGATTTAGGCGTTTTAAGCGCTCATCGTAAGGGAGACTAGAAAGACCCTTCACTAATTTCGTTCCCACACGCTGGACACGCTCAAGGGAGTTAGTATCCTTTACTAGACACGGGCTAGCTGCTTGGATACAGTACTCTAAATGTGGTCTAACATATATGGGATATAAAATTCGAAACGTTTCCTCGTCAAAAGATTTGAACGCTCGGCGAAGTGACCATAACGCACGAAAACCTTTGACAGCGGCTGCTTTGCAATGCGCAGTTGTTTTTAAGTCATGACTTAATATTACTCCTAAGTCCTTATGCTCTTGAACGCATGGAAGAGGTTTACCCTCAATAGTGTAACGGTAACTATTACCGTGACCGACGTGCATTAGTACACTCTTCCTAGCATTAATTTCTAAGCCCCACTCTCGAGCCCATCTAACTAAATCGTCTAAATCAGCTTGAAGATCCACATGATCAGCCGCACTTTTTATTGTTCTCCAGATTTTTACATCATCTGCAAACAATAATGTCGACGACCTAAGTAACAGTGGTAACTCATTAACGTAGAGAAGGAAGAGCAGAGGGCCTAAGATGGTGCCTTGGGGTACACCACTTTTGACCGGCTTCCAATCGGATAGCGTTCCATTGACCCTAACTCTCTGTCTGCGGTCACATAAGAAATTTCCTATCCACTCATGTACAGTACCTATTATTCCGAAGCTCGTGAGCTTCTGCATAAGACCTACGTGTGAAACCTTGTCAAACGCTTTGCTAAAATCTATGAATATCACGTCGACAGACAGACCGTGATCTAGGGCTGCTGTCCAATCCTCCCTCGCAATAAGCAAGTTAGTCAAGCATGAACGCTTGTTACGAAATCCGTGTTGCTCAGGAGCTAACAGATTGTGTAAATCTATGTGGCTTAGCAACCTAACCCGAATTATCTTTTCGAGTAACTTAACGACTATGCTAGTTAGACTGACAGGCCGGTAGTTAGATACTATCTGTCGCTGACCGTCCTTAAATATAGGACTAACTATAGCGTCCTTCCAATCTCTAGGGAGTTGGGCGAGTGAGAGGGACATGTTGAAGAGTGTCGCAAGCGGTTTTGAAATAATGTCCGCAAGAGATGACAGCAACCGTGGATGTAACCCGTCAGGGCCCGGTATCTTACCAGGTTTGAGGTTAGTTATCAACGGAAGGACAGTTTCCTCAGTCACCTGTACGGATTCAATGGTTGGTATCTCGGTGTGAGTGGGACAAGTATTTGTTACAATAAACGTAGAGAAGACTTCGCTAAAATAATCTGAAAAAGTCTCAGCTTTTGCTCGATCTGATTCAGCTAGTAATTCTGAATTTTCGTGTAACAGCAACGGGGGAATACCATCACTACGTTTCATTTGCCGTTTAACATACGAAAACAATCGTTTCGGACAAGTACGGCTATCATATACTAACTGTCGTTCGTAAGTGGTACGGGATTTCGCTATGGTTTTCTTACAGATATTACGGTTTTTTTTATAGGGAGATTGGGATCATGCAGTGTTTAGGTCATGTACTGTTGATCAAGCCGTATATGGGGGAGACTATTGAGTTTCCCGGAAGTTCTGTGTTTCAAGACTCACTAACCCACCCCGTGAATATGATCTCATTGGGAGACCGGTAACTTTGGGTCTATGCCCCCAATAACTGAGTCTCCGGATTTTTGGGTGGAATTAAAGGCTTTTTATACAAAAGTCATGAAAATTGGTACTTTTGCCCAAAGGCTCGGAATATTTTGGGGAGACACTTCAGACCATTGTTAATGTTGGTGGTTTCCTTACGGTATTGCTTAAGCGTTTTGAGATGTAATCACAATTAATGGTATTTTGGATCTTATGATAATCAAATTCAGTAGAGTGAGGATTTTCAGCGACTAAACAAGCTGCACAGCGGTTTGCCGAATAAGTTTACTTTCAAAGTCTATTGAATCAGAGCCTATTATATTATGTGACTATGTTGACAGTAGGTTATGGTGTCTCCAAAGAACTCATTATTTACAGAGACTCAAAGTTTTCGACTAATAGGCTCAACAATATAGTCATGGCTAGCGACCAACCTGGCTTCATCACACAAATTGTCGAGGGCGGCAGGATTGGGTTTTGAACTTTCAGCAACCCTCATGATTTCTTCAGTGACATGTTTATTTAAATGCCCTGTAGTTAACCACGAGTGGACTTGGGTTACCGTGACTGATATACTTTGTAAGTGTATCTCTATCTCGTCGCAATATGATGAGGTTATTATTCCCATTGTACATACATTTCCTTAGGTAGGGTGACATCATTTCTCAGGGCCCATCTTACACAGAATAGTTTAGTGTTGTAGGTTTACACGTTAATGTTGTGTTAACACGTTATTTTTCACTAATACATCCGACGTACAAATAAGTATGGTTGGAAATATACGTTACATGTACATCGGTTACACAGGTTTTTAGGTATCCATTCCATAGTTTACATATAGGTATATTCGCCCACTTGGAAATGTCGATGGTTCTGTTCCCTTCAAACGTGTTTCCTGCGACTGAATGTCTCTTACACATTGCACACATATCATAGGCACCAATATTTTCGCCTGTGCACTTCATGGTATGCGCATAAGCACTTCTCCTTAGTATTTGCTACCACATCTTTTTGTTGTCTTTGGCCTGATGTCCAGGCCGTTATTTTTACTAGGCACAAGGTAGACATTTCAGCCTTTGCTTCTTTTTCTGTCCCGGGGCATACCTTTTGTATATACCTACATAACCACAAGCTGTAACCCATGCAACTCATATATATAAGCATACACATCGGGCAACCTGCAAGATTTGATGGCTTTAAGGTTGGGACCCCAACAGTGCTATGAGGGAGCCCTGGTCGGATTTTACTGTAAAAATTTTCTTCCTCATCGAGGAACTTCCTGAAAATGTTTCTAAATAAATTCTCACCATTTAAAAACATCATCCGTGGTCTTTGATGCAATTTACAGGTTGGCTTTCTGAGGACATTCCGTGGTCCAATTATGTACAGATATCTAAAGTGATGAGGCTACCATGTCAATTGACGTTTTCAACGCTCCTAGTTACTTCATATCTTGAACTGAGACCAAACGTATTTAGTCACAAATGACTTGTGATAGATAGTGTAATTCGTGGAGGAAATGAATTCTTAAGAACAGCAAGTGTAGAATAATATTGGGAACAGTGTTATTATCACCCGTTCAAAGTCCTGTCATCCACACAGCTGTTGTTTGCTTTTTAACAATGTATTTGTACCAGTCCAACGGTTTTTAATTTGAAAAGTCATTCAGTGTGAAGCATCTGTAAACCTATTTGAATGTTGTTAGAAGTATTATTAACTAACTAGTACATCACTGAACTAACCTATCAGTGTTACTCTCATCATGCTTGCTTTTCGCTGGTGTTTTAAGAAATATCTCAATCCACGCGATCATTCTTTTTATTCAACTGTTTTCAAAATTACTCAGAAGTCCTTCGTCATAATGGTTATAGGTTCTCCTCGTATTAGGGGGATTTCAGGCAGCAGAAACCACACTTCTAAAAATCGTAGTAACAGCTTCACTTCAGCATTTTTACAAGGTTTTGAGCTAGTATTAGCATTTTTTGATGCATAAAGCAAAGGCTTTGTAACTATCTGTGGTGTCCATACTTTTGTTTGGTCCGTGTAGCCTGCAGACAAACCATGGAGTGCACTTCAGAACCAGATAAAGAATCAGAAAAAAGTTTGGACGAAGTATGCCAAAAAATGGATAAGCTGTCAGAATTAAATGGGGATTCGCCCGTAAAATTAGTAACGAAAAAGAAGAAGAAACATAAAAAGAAGACTGGAAAATGCACAAGTATGTATAGCATATCATTAATCAAATCTCTGTTGAAGATGGTGACGATGCGACCCTGATGAGAGAAAATGAGACAGGAGACACTTCAGTTAACTGTCGTGAAAACATGTCCTCTGCTGTGAAAACGTCAAACAAGAAGTCTAAATCGGAAAATTCAGGTGTCATACGTCAGACGGATCCTCCTTCTATTCCTGTATGTCAGTTGTATCCTAAAGGAGACTACCCAGTTGGTCAGATTATTAATTATGAGCCCGATACTGATTGGTTAGTTCATATGTTTGGTTTTCTCCTCATATTTTTAAGTTTATTTATATTTTATCTGTGAACGTATGATATATATTTTTTCAGTACGACTTCAGTATTCTCCTTAAGTAGATAGTTACTAAACGTCTTACGATTTTGAGTGTCAGATCTTTTCACCAGTCATTTGAAAACTTAAACAAATCGAATTGATCAAATGTGTTGACAATTTTCAGTGTATTTCTAGAGGCTTGCGTTTTTGTCCTAGTTCACCAATAGTCATTCTTCCAGTTTTAGTAAAATGACCTGCCAGTAGCTCAACTACGTTTTGTTGCTTAAATTATTATGGAATAATCGAATGATAAATGATCATAAGTATTGAAGTATTCAGGCCAAATTGGCCGATCATAGACAATGACCTAATGGTAGGTGGTAAAGTAATTGAGCAGGTTTACCACTCATCACGTCCGGTTGTTTGTTATTTGACGAAATCTTGAGATGGTTTCGGAAAGCTCGTCTGGCTTTTGTCAGCTTGCCTTTTCTCCGACGAAGAAACTAGTCTACTGTTCAGCGGTTCTCTATGTTTTGCTTTTTGAGTGCAAACTTCGGTGCTCAAAAGCAGAGGACATTCGTAGGTTCTTATTTTTGGGTCACAGGTGTCTTTGAAGTATTACTTATGTATCATTTAAAAATGGAGTGAGGAGTGCTGAGGTTAGTTGAATTTTGTCCATAGATTAAGATTACTAAGTACTTAATTCTTCTTGTAGTCGTACAGCTATCAATCGCACAACATCAGAAGAGTGCAAAGCTCGTGACAATGCTCATGTAGAGATCTATCAACAGTTTCGTGAAGGTGCAGAGGTTCATAGACAAACGAGAAACTATATTAAGAAATGGATACGTCCGGGTATTCGTCTCATTGATATGTGTGAAGAACTTGAACGCACTAGCCGTGCACTCATTTTAGAACGCGGATTGAATGCAGGCTTAGCTTTTCCAACAGGTTGTTCAATTAATAATTGTGCAGCTCATTACACTCCTAATGGGGGTGATAATACAGTTCTAAATTATGACGATGTATGCAAAATTGATTTTGGAGTACATGTAAATGGTAAGTCAACATTGTCTTTGTTGATAGGTAGTTAAAGTATCTTACTTTTGATAGACTAAACAAGTTTTATCAGTGTAGGGTTGTAGAGACTGTTGAGTTTTGATATATCATGAACCGATCAATGTTAGACTACCGTTGATCGGTTGTTAATTCAATGCTGTCTTTACCAAGCTTTACGAAATATAACTATGTCAACGTAGTCAAAGTTAATCGCCTTGCTTGTGTAAGCTTAATTTTTTGTAATCTATCGCGATTTCCTGTCGGTCTAAACATTTGGTTAGTGGTTTTGGAAAGAAATATTGCTTCCTATTGATATGAAGGTAAATCATTGTATTGTGGGGATCTATTCGATTAGTAGTTTTGTCCTAAAAAACATAAGTCAATATGTTTTATATCCATGAAAGCATAATTAAACAAGTTTCTTCCTCAAATACGACTGCCTTTTGTTCATTTTTCTGGCTTTCAACTATTGATCTTGCAAATTTTTATGCACCTTGTTAATAAGTCGGCATACTACATATTATTAAAACGCAGTTTAAACAATGGCTTAGTGGTTAAATAACTTTGCGCCCAACTACCGGAGAGTAAGACCGAACTCTTCTCTAATTACTTTGGTTGAAATCATACGCTTCTTACTGCTAGTCCCCACACAAATTTTAACTGAAAATGAGTACATAGATGTACACTTGATATCTGAAATATTTGATTGAATTACCATCAGTAATCCGATGAATTGTAGTATTGTAATAATCATGTACAGTAAAATCTCAACATCTTTCTTCGAACCAATTAAGTTGAGTGAACAAATATTTTTGTTTGTTGTATAATTCATAACTGTAGTAGATTATAGTATTTTTGGTTTAATTTCAGGTCGTATTATTGATTGTGCTTTCACACTTCACTTTAATCCTAAGTTTGATACTTTGGTAGAGGCTGTTAAGGATGCAACTAATACTGGTATCAAGGTATGTTTATCTATTGTAATATGACCTATCAAATTTATCCACACTGGCCTGGGTCAACACCTGAACTAAGGGATAGGGATTGAAGTTGTCGACGACTTCGACTACTTCATTCATCGTGGAAGTCTGGTCAGCCCTAAAAGGTTGGTGTCTGACGTAGTCGTTGCACGGATTCAGAAAGCTCGCTTGGCTTTTGTCAACTTACGTCACCTATGGGATAGACGAGTATGCTGTGCAGCAGTTCGTTCTGTCCTACTTTATGGCTGCGAAACGCGGCCACTAAGAGTAGAAGATAGTAGTAAGTTTCTAGTGTTTGATCCTATATGTCTTAGAAATACTGCTCGCATCTGCTGAAATCACCGGGTTAGTAATGATGAAGTTTGGCGCATGGTACCAGAGATTAATGCTAAATCAGTTGATGAGCTTGTATATCTACATAGAGTGAGATGGTTGGGCCACGTGTTACGTATGCCTGAACACCGACTACCAAGACTCACAATGCTGATAAGTGTCGGAGACGGCTGGAGGGAAGTTAGGGTCGGCCAAACCAAAACGTAGCATCAGTGCTTGAAGTCACTAACTTCTGATCTGAGTCATGTTGGTAGATGCAGACCACTTGTTTGAGGTCCGTGCGACTATCATAACCAATGTTTGAAGACTCTGGGTGATATGGCTCAGAATCGATCACAATGTTGCAGGTGTATACACTCTCTGTTTTCCATTGAACCATGAGATTAAAATTGCTTTATACTCTTATTTCTACGAACTAATTCTTCCCGTATTATACCCTTATACACAACCTTTCTTTTATATATTACTAACATTGAAGTAACTACTTCTATGAATTTGGTGTTCATCTTGTTTGGCTAATCGGGTATGGCAACTTGAATCGATGCATATATGTGCTTGGTCCTACATCGTAGCTGACTGACTGATCCACATGTATTTATTATTGGTATCTAAAGGCATTTACCTAATAGCCTTATGGTAGCAGTCTGAAAGTTGAGCTGTTTTCCAGTACATAACGTGCCGGACTTCCAGTGACTGTATTACGAATAAATCTCCTACACCTCACACCAAAGAGATGGGGTATCTCTCATTTCGTTGGCTTGACTCATAGCCTGCTACATAAATTTCTACTTCTTAAGTTTCGTCAAAATTACATTCTGTTTTGTAATATGTCAAAGAGTAGAATATAGGTGGTACGTATTAAACAATGTTGGCGTTTTAGTGAGCAAATTTTTATTCATAGACTATTGTAATGAGTTGAGATCGTGCCAAATTATGGCCACTATGATCGGTAGAACTGTAATTCATGTTTAAGGACATCAAGTGATTGGATTGATACAAATATATACATTCTTCCTCTCCCTCTGGTATCGTTGAGCATAGTATTGCCGTTTTGGCGATCAATCAAGATAAAAAAGCGCGTAAGCGTTTTCAAAGATTAGATTATTGTAGCCTTTATGTTTTGTAACACATTTGAAACATGAGTTATTGAATTTTAAAATCGCAATATATTTGGATTTACCATTGACTTATGTTCATTGTTTTTAAAAATTTAAATACCGATCAACTTGTGATTATGAATTCCTCATCTTGTGCAATTTTAGGCAGCTGGCATTGACGTACGTTTGTGTGATGTTGGAGCAGCCATTCAGGAGACTATGGAGTCCTATGAAGTAGAATTAGATGGAAATACTTACCAGGGTAACTCGCTTACTATCATGATTTTAATGAGTTATTCTTAAAAAGTAATCCCAGTTTCCATAATTTCTACTGATCCAATTATTTTTTACGAATAATATATTAAATAAAGTTAAAGCATGTACTTTTTAAGTCTCCTGCATAATAATATATGTACATATATACTTGTTATATTCCAATGGGTAGAAAAGTTGTATTTTTATAAATAACCGACATCTATTTACTCTGAAGAAGTGGCTTACATTAAGTCACGAAACGTCAGAAAAATAATTTTTCTACTCATTGGGATTTAAGAAAAATTATATTTAATAACTTTCTACCCCAATTGTCAATTTATTTGAAACTATCAAGTCCAACTTGTATGGATACCTCTTGCATAATACTTGTCGAATATAAAAAGAAGTATCTTAGTATCACAGTTAAAACCAATCATTTATACCTTTAGCTAGGCTGACTGGTGGTGAAATTCTATTGATGTATTTTCTTGGACGATTTCGGATCTAGTAAATGAAATTTTTAGTGGGACTGAGAGAATTCGAACTACACTAATTAGTACTTTCAGTTAAATATTGTGGTATTAATATTGTAGTACAATTAATGGACTGAAATTTGTAACACAGGTTGTGGATCACGAGAAATTCGTAAAGATGAATAGGCTATCTTAATTTTCCTACCATATGACACTTTTTAGAACTTAACTGTTTTGGTTTGTCTCCACATTCATAGTTGTGACGATCAGTTGTTTATGTAGATGATTTTTCTTGTTATTAAAGTAACCGTGAACATTATTTTTAAGAGATTGACAATATTTGCATGAGTCCAAAAAACAACATTCAGCAACGAGAAATGGTAAAGAAAAATGGAAGTCAACCCAAATAAATAATTTGAGCATATGAATACACAGATAAGTTGACTATGAATAATTTAGCCAGATGAATTATTAGAAACATTCTCACATATTCTTTCCTGATTTGTATGTTCAAACTTATATCATCTTTGCGACATAGTTCTTCTGTGCAAGTGATATGGCTATTTTTCTCGTTTGTCTTAAATTTATCTTAAGAAGGATCTATCCGTGTGAGTAATCCCGCAATATGTTTATCAATTTAGGTGAGTGCATTTATTTGCTATAGATGACTATAGGATTAGTTACCATAAGGTTTTTCCCCCAATCCAATTGGTTATTGTTTCTAATTTTATTATGTATAGTTGTTTGTTTATGTTATTCTCTTTTTACATGTAATTATGCTAACATATGATAATTAGTATAATAAATCACATTATTATTATATCAATTCAGTGAAACCTATACGTAATTTGAATGGTCATTCTTTGGGGCCATACCAAATTCATGCGGGGAAAACTGTGCCAATCGTACGTGGAGGGGAGCAAACTCGTATGGAGGTATGTCCATTAATCATCTGTGTGATTCTTACGTTATTTCGTTTTCAAAATAAAATGTTAGCTTAATATTACCTTTTTTGTTACGATTTTTTTTAAGGAAAATGAATATTATGCAATCGAAACGTTTGGTAGTACAGGAAAAGGTTATGTTATTGATGGAGATGAAGTTTCGCACTATATGAAGAATTTCGACGTTGGACATGTTCCTCTGAGGTACTTTTATTAACTTGGTACTGATTCAATAGAACCGCATTTTTTAATTGTACGGTTCTTAGTTTATCAGACTTTTTGTCGATCTAACGCTGTTATTAACTCAGTTTGGAAAAAAATCTAGTATTTTTTTTACAACATTAACTAGTACATGAAAGGTTTTATATCAACTGTTACTTCCATTCCCATCTCTGTAATTCTACGTCAATATTTCTTGCACCGTACTGATGGCTTTGTAATTCATCCTGTCTAATTTTTCACTTCTCACGATTATTTCGCCAGTTACAGTCTGTGAACTTCAGTGACTCAACACCGTACCTTCTAGATTGATATTCAAATATAGTTCTACGAAGTTTCGAGTTTGTATAACTTCATATCTATCGGTACCTAGGGTCCTAACCAAATAAACACGAGCAAAATTTATTAGTTAGTTCGACTATTCAGTCTTTAATTCATTGTCTGCTTCGTGTTTCAAGATGTGAAATATTATCCTGTTCAGAACAGCTAAAACAGACGTTTATTTCTTTCTGTTTTTAATTTACTATTGATTCATATCGTATACTATCTTCTATCCCACAGCCCGTTTCGCTCTCCCCTCTCGGTCGTACTGATATCAAAAGGCTTTAATTGAATATGTTTACTACCGACAACCAAACCTTCCAAGCGTGAAGATCATTTGAAATAAAAAGTCTAGTTAAACTCTATAATTGTATTAAATTTACTGCTCCTTTTTAAATTGGTATGTTCTACGTTCAGAAGTCGAACTAAACAGTTGTTCTTTCGTTTCAAATCTTTGAAATTTTTAACATTCTTTTGGATTTCATTTTCTTATTGTGTAGGTTGGCGAAATCGAAACAACTGTTGAATGTGATAGATCGTAATTTCAGTACTCTTGCATTTTGTCGCCGTTGGTTAGATCGTTTAGGTGAAACAAAATATCTTATGGCCCTAAAGAACCTATGTGACGTTGGAATAGTAGATCCATATCCGCCTCTGTGTGATCAACGTGGTTGCTACACTGCTCAATGGGAGCACACGATTTTGCTAAGGCCAACATGTAAAGAAGTTGTCTCTCGTGGGGAGGATTACTGAGTAACTTCCAAGTTTTTCATTCAGGATTCACTGTAGACGTTATAAATTGTTTCGATATTTTGATAATATTTGAAAGATTTATTTTCGTTTGAACATGTGTCCAAGATACAGTTTGATATAGTATTCCACTATGTGTCTCAGTCATTATTGTTTTAATTGATTTCCCAGCGCTAACAATCCTTCTTAAGGCTCTCTGCTTATCAATCTTTATTTTGACCTCAACTTCCGTGAGTTTATATCTATATTGTACACTTTCATGTTTTTGTAGTAACAACTAGGTTTTGTAAATTAAGTCACATCTAAATAAAGTCCAGTATTATATGAATTCTAGTTTTCTGTCTATTTATTTCCCTTATGCTGTAACACAAATTTAATTGGTATGCTATTTTAGCGAAGAGGATATAAAATGGAAGTGGATTTTGAAAGACATACACCTAGTAGCTTTTTAACGGTCTTTCTATTTGTAATTATGTGTGATTTTTCCTTGATCTGACTGTAAATTCATAGGTAATCAGGTTATCATTATCGCATTTGGTTGTTCCACAATATTCGTCCAGTAGACCTCATACAGTGCTACATACTTTCAGAGGAGAGTTACTCTTCCCATTCTAGCAGTGTAGTAGGAGGTATTTCTTCAAATTCCTGCTTAGTTTTTAGCTGATTGTACTTGTTTCTAAAACATCATTTGTAAACTATGATGAGTAGAAAATAGTATACCAATCATTCAGAGAAGTCAGCTTTGGAAGTTGATTTTGGAATAGATAAGTTTGCACAATAAATGAATATTGATAAAATATTTTCATTACATAAACATTCGATTATGTCTTCTATATCGTTTGAATCTTTACAAAAATCTTAATACAAGCACGGAGTGATTGATCCACGTGCTCGACTACTCACAGGAGTGAATATCTTGTTTTAAAAATACTCTTAGATCATATAAACTTATTCTTTTAATCGGTAATATGGCGTATAAGGGATGGTTTGAATACAGTTCAAGATCTAATATTGAGGGATAGCAGCTGTTCAATAGCTTACTGAATGCAACTGGTTATTTAAATACTGTGCAGCATGAACGACGTGATGGGGTTAATGTAGGACTCAGTAGTTTCTTTTGGAAGCTTGTCATTTGTCATAGGTAGTGGTAATTGGTACATATAATGACAAGCTGACCTCATGTTAAATTACATGAGTGGTATTATTTTACAGTGTGACTACTCGAGTATATCTGAAACCAGTGTATACTGATGAAATGGCCAGTTACAATCGGAACAGGACTATGGTTCACAAAGTGAGCTACCTACTGACATCATCACTCAAAAAGGGTGAAGGTACAGTGTAGCAGAGCCTTTGCGGTAGGACTCTAATTTATGGACGAGCCACTCAGAAGCGTTTGAGGAGTTCCAAGATCACGGCGCTAAGTTCGATGCGAGATGCTTATATTCGATCGTTTTACAGCAGATTTTAGAGAAGAGTTGATTCGCAATGAAAATGACACGAGTACATGAATCATTTGGAGGAGTTGGAAAGATAGTGGAAATAGATGACGCGCTAGTTAGAAAGCGAAAATACAATAAAGGACGTTTTATCAAGGAAGATTGGGTAAATAGCACTTCCGTGAATATACTTGACAGGCACTTGGGTTTTACGATCGTTCAACTCAAAAGGGACATTTTCAAAGAGTGAGAAACCGTCAGGTAACGACAATAATACCAATCATCAAGGAGCACGTTCAGCCTGGTTAGGGTTAGGGAGCCATATGGACGAGTTCTCATACCACATGCACTATGATTTCAAAACTTCTGAACCTTTATCAAACCTCGACAAGTTCTTAAATCATGTAGAAGAAGAATATCCATTGTAATTCATCAGTTTTTTATAATATATTCTTACTTTGTACTAACTCTCTTCTGATTGGCCAATGCTATCAAGGTCACTTAAAAATACGTTCAAAGGTCGTCCATAAAATAGAGTTTCACCGCCTTGGCATGTAGCTATAAACAGAAGTACTTCATGGATGTAGTCTGGGGATGTGTGTACCCACAAATCATTAAATATTAGGACCCTTACGACCTCGACATTTTAACTTATGCCATTCTGACCGGATAATATTGAGGTCTGGTTCTGCTACGCGTTAGGTAACTTTCACAAGCACGGAGTGATTGACCCACGTGCTCATTTACTCGCAGTAGTGACGGCACTACCTCGCGATTTAAGTGGGTAAGCTACACTTTGAGATGGTGGAGAAAATTTGTGGCTCAGGTGGATGATTTTGATGGAGTTTTGTTCTCTGAGCTGGATGGTTTGGTCGTGGAGCTTTCATCGTTCTTCTGAACGACATCATCAGCACAAACTTGTGCTGATGATGTCGTTCAGAAGAACGATGAAAGCTCCACGACCAAACCATCCAGCTCAGAGAACAAAACTCCATCAAAAAGCTACACTTTGTTGGTTTGCTAGTGACGTTTGTGGACCTTATGGGACCAAAATGCCTATTCTCAAACGCACAGACCTAAGCGATGAACAAGGGTAAGACCAACTGTTCCGAAATATCAAATTAAAACATGGCTCATCAACAGGGATGTTGACACGTATACGGGAGGTCACTGGTCGGCGGGCCTCTGACGAGGGCTTCTTAAACGGTTCTTATCTAGGGTGTCACCAGTTCTTGTCTCATTTCATAGTAACTCCGTGAACAGACTGGCTGAGTTTGCTGATCGGTTTGTGGCGGTCAATAAGACTCACATCACCGAAGCTTGTTTAGTCAACGAAAAGCCTAAAACAAGAAAATCATGGATGGCCAAGCATATCATTGACCTGGGAATTGTCCGGAAGCCGAACAGCCTATTGGTATCGCCTTTGTACAGTCTCTGAAAGAAACAGCGATGATTGGCCTTCAACTGTTGGTTATAGGTGAATTTATACATAAGCCAGTACGTCGTTTTCGACCTACTCCAAAAACAAGGCATTGCCGTAAGTATTCGGAAATGCCAGATCAAAACTGATTCACATGATTTTCTCGGGCAATAACGACGATCTAGGTATTCGCCCCCGATAAGGAAACTCGAGGCCATTCTAGATCACCCGGAAACAACCGTAGTCAAGCAACCTGCGCAATTAAGAGAATATCTTGGTTATTCCGAAAACATACAAAAATGAACGCTGGAATTTTTTCGTTGTTCGCTATTCCATCACGTGGAACAGATTCCAAAGGCCTCCATTGCAGTGAAACTATAACATAACTCGAAGATTTCCATTACTTTCTCCTTAAAGTTTGGTTGTGTCACCTATTAAATATTAGTGCGATTACCAATGATTTATACAAACAAGGCCCGATATCTATCCAATGGACTATAAAGTAAATTAGAACCTCTGAAATTTCGTTCGCTTATTTTTTTTACATCTGGATATCCGAAGTACACCTATGCACATATTTATTATTATTGTTATTGTTAGTATCATGCTTAGTCCCCTGATAGATTAGGTATTCTTCTGTTTTCCGTCTGCACATATCTCACTATTAAACATCTAAAGTTGATAACCAAAACGTAATGTATTCTCGAAAGCGCTCCTGATAAGCTGAGGTTGGCCATAAACAAGTTCGATCACGTTATGATTTCGAAAATATTCGTCGATAGAAGAGTCTATCGTCATCTCCCTTTCATATGTTCCCTAAAATCGATAGAATTGATTGGTGTTCGCCCATTATCTATCAACTACTGAATACGACCTCCACTCTCGACCGATAGGTCCTGCTGCAATTCCACTCTTTGACAGCTACTTCAAAAGGTACAACGATGTTTTCGAAAATCTATTTAGTAAAAGCTTGTAACCAATTTCCCATGGCTGCACACAACATCCCTCAAACAGCTCTTATCTTAATGCCTTCGGACTCGACGAATTTTGCGCGTGCCTTTTGGTTTAAGAAACGCTGCACAAACTTCCAAGAGACCACTGACGACGTCCTTTGAGGTTTCAACTCCCTACACACATATGTAAATGACTCCTTGTTTGCAAGTCCGGAAAAAGAATCTCTTCTCCAAAATCTGGACCTTATCTTCGAACGACTACAGAAGCATGACATTATTGTAAACAATCCGAAATTTCAAATCAGCACCAACTCCCTAGATTTTCTAGGACGCACTATTAACGCTTAAGTTCTTTGCTCTCAAACACGTAAAGTTCCGAGTACTCAGGATTACCCAAAACCGACCACAAGCAAGCATCTACACATGTTTAACGGCCTGGTAAGTTTCCATTGACTGTTCATGCCAAACTGAGCGTCTCTTATGGTACCTTTAACCGACCAACATCATGAAAGTGGGAAATCAATTTGGACGACATAGCAAAACGAGCAATCTGCAAAGCTAAAGAAACGATCTCAAAAGCAACCATATTTGCATACCAAGACGTCAATCAAGGTATAACATTTTCAATAGAGAACTTCCACCAATGAATTGTGCTATACGGCACTTCCAATTCTTTATGGAAGGCCGGGAACTCACTAAATCTTTTGGTTGTTGACCTCACACAATTTTTTTTGTTCATCTTTATACAAGTACTCCACTCAACAGCCGGAATGTGCCTCGCAGTTTAATTCAAATATACAGCATATTTCGGGGCAAACAGTGTAGTGACAGCTGCCTTGTCTTGTATAACTTCGTTGGACAGGTATTGGCCCCCTTGAACGCAATCAGCTTCAATAGCAAGACTCCGTTCGTCAGCACGGGGTACTCTGGACAACCCCAAAACTGTGAATCGAGAAGATGGCAACAGGTTGTGAAACTTTACTATGTGCCCCGTCTACCATGAGTAGTAGTCCAATCGTGGCGAAGCAATATCGACCTAATGTCTTCGATAGGTTGCACAAAATTTCCAACCCCTGTGTTTTTCTACTTCGTGATTCCATGTGAAGACACCTTGAAACGTGATAAAAAGGACCCTTCAAAGTCCTTCATCGCAAATCTAAGTACTACACATTCAATGAAAATGAAACGAGAGGGCATTAACCGTAAAAAGCGGCTTATTTAAAAACACTGATCACGACGGAAGTTCATTAGAATCCAATAACTAGACCAAAATATATGTTGTGGAAAGTCATTTATCAGGAAAAGAAGAGGTTCTATTACTGAATCCTGAAAGACCCTACTAAGACATTACTTGTCATGAGAGAAAGTGAAGTTAACCCGGACCTAAATACGTCGAGTTTTTAGAAATCAAGTGAAACAACCAATTAAAGGTGATTTGATTCCTAATCGTTAAGAAACATATAGTTGACCCTATCATGGCCATGGCAAATGATGTCAACCTTCCCCTTGCTATC